AATATTTATATATAGGATATTAAAACATAACACCTTAAAATATAATTACATAAATTAATGAATAATAATTACCTTTTCGACGAGTAATTAGTTCAAATTTGAATGGATCTAGTGTATCTACACTAACGTTCAACAAATTCAACCCATTTTTGACCAATTCAGGTAACTTTCGTTTTAACGCTATACCGTTAGAAGTCATGGCTAACGTTTTCAAACCATATTGTTTTAACTTTCCTAATTCACCTATAAAGAAAAAAAAATTTTTTTTTAATGAATTTATATTAAAACGAAATAAAAAAAAAAAGAATAATAATACACTGAAATTACCAACTAAATCAACCAAATCTTTTCTTACGGTTGGTTCCCCACCAGTTAATCTAATTTTATTAACTCCTTGAGAAACAAATAAACTCGCTAGACGTACAATCTCTTTGGTTGATAAAAGTTCGTGTGAAGGGGTCAAATCAACACCTTCTGCTGGCATACAATAAGTACCTGGATAATTGTTTAATATATACTTTAAAAAAAAAATTGTACTGATAAACTAAATTTAAAAAAAAATGATTAAAATAAATTTTCCATACATCTTAAATTACATTTTTCCGTTAGTGAAATTCTTAAATAAGTATGTTGTCTTTCAAATTTATCTGTCAAAAAATTACTAAAAGGACGTTCCCTCTCGATCGCAGCAATCTTTTGCTACTAGCACAAGAGTAAATATATTTAGTAAAAAGGACTTGAGCAAATATATACAAAGAATCTAAAATACCTGTATACGGTGTTTAGGAATTTTGTAAATGGTAGATACTTGTGCTTGATATGAATTAGTAGTTAAAGAGAAACCCCTTTTCGGAAAAGGGGACAAGGTCTTACTTGGTACACGTTGAGCAAAAATGTGACTATTCATTTTAGAAACTTAAAGCATAAAAAAATGAATATATTCCGTCAAAAATTTTAAACCTTACATTTATAAGGTTGGTTTTTATCTTATCGTTATCGTTATCGGAAATAATAAATTGCATTGATTACTCCTGATTTCGCCTATCGCTATCTGATAAAATTTATTAAAGAAAGATCTAAAGTTGTACTACTTTATAATCATTTTACGCATAAACAAAGGTTTATTTTAACTATATAGAATACTTAAATATATTTGGTTAAAAAAGATATCAAAAAAAAAAAAGAAAGTCGAATTAAAACTGTGACGTTTATGCTTCCTGTGAGGTTCGAACTCACGACCTTCAGATTATGAGACTGACGCGCTACCGACTGCGCTAAGGAAGCGACTTATAGAGAGTTGAAAAAAAATTATTTATTTATTATGTTTTTATACTAAAAGTTGTATGATTTAAAAACAATTATTTAAAAAGAAAATTTCTTAATTTATACATAGTGTATATACATGGTATTAATTAATGATTTGTAATACGTATTTGATTTTAATTAACAAATTTAATCTATTTAATATTACAGTAAAATAAGATTTAAAGAAAAACATAATTTATATTAAATTTTGCAAGAAATTTTTTTTGTTAGAACCCCAAAGGTAGCTTTATTAATTAAAGGTTTGAGAAATAAAACTCTACCAGAGTGGCCTTCAAAAACACGGATCATGTGATGGCGCCACCTATGTTCAATATGCAAAAATGCAATACAGTGTCAAAATTTTCATAGAAATACGTAGCACTATAAATCCAATACTGATTCATCTGCTGCAACTACAGCAGGTGGCGTCACCACATGACCCGTATTTTTGAAGGCCACCCTGGTAGAGTTTAATATACCAGACTATAAAAATTAAACAACTCAATTTCAACGACTAAACAAAGCAGTAACCGACAGAAACAGCACTAGTAACGATATAATACTTGGCAAAAAATTAATAACAACTAATGTTTATTGATTTACATTGCACGTAATAATTCTTATTAAAATATTTTTATTATTTACTTTTAACGTTAATTTTAATACGTATTAAATTTATTAATTTTATTAACTTTATAACTTAATTAACGAATAATTTTTTTAATTCATTTTTAAAAATTTACACTTATTAACTTTATTAACTTTATTAATTTTATTAACTTTATTGACTTTGTTACAATTATAAATACATATTTTTATTAAATTTACATAGAAATCAAAAACTAAAACTAAACTAAATATTGAGATACTTTGTTTCAGAGAATATATCTCCTACTTATCCCAACCACCACGAAAAGGTGTATCTCATTGGTTGGGAAGGTGAACCCCAACCAATCTCTCACTCCACCGGTACTAGTCGTGGCTCGGTTCCCGGTGGCGTGAGTAGGTTGTTCCCCTTGAATCATTAATACTTTCGTATTTCATCAAGGTAGCTTTAACTCAATTTATACTCTAGAGTTCGAGTATACCTTTTAAATGTCCACATCCAAGTATTCCGTCCGAGTATTCATGTTCGTGTATTTCCATCCAAGTATTCGTATTTCCGTCCAAGTATTCGTATTTCTGTCCAAGTAGTCGTATTTCCGTTCAAAAATTTATGTTTAAAAGGAAAGCAATTGAAATAATGAAGTAGCAAAAGGAAAAAAAGACATCTTTATATAGCTTTTGATATTTTTTTTTTGACGCGTAAAAATCGAATTAACGCGTAATACATGTAATTATGCAATTTTTTCACACGAAAAAAATTTTGTAATTCCGTTGTCGATTCCCTTAATTGAATATTAAGCAGTCGAATACGTTATCATTATGTAATTTATATTCGCATTACTATTGTTCTCTGCGAGCAAAACTCGTTTAGATCCGGATTTGAATTTGGGAATTACGTACGTACGCACGTATGCAATTATTATCGATATACTCCTTTTTTTTGCAAGAAACGATTTTAGAATACGTAGTCTTTTAATTTATTGCAGATCATTTCTATATCGCATAAAATCCCTGACTTCCGGTGACAAATTTATGCAAACAAGGTAATATGTTCACAAATTATCATCGGAGTTAATATTACGCATGTGTTAATACATCTTTGAAGTCATGTCTCTATGCTACAGAATACATATGAGGTCTTCGATAATGTTTTATCTATTATGAAGAGCTAGATAAAAATTAAATATATAATAAACATCCATACTGTATTCACTCGTTGAATTAATTAAATATTATTGATGACTGTTTATCATCTTTTTTTTTCGGTCTTTAAAATAATCTACGTGAAAAAATTTTAATTGAAAAAAATATAATATATATACTCGCGTAGTTTAATTTGATAACGTAATTACTATACGATAATACCGTTTGATACCCGCGTGCATATTTTTGAAACCCTATACAATAACTATATATTATTACGTATATGTATAAATTGCTTCCGCGGCCTTCAAAAATACGAGTCATGTGGTGGCGCCACCACATGATCCGTATTTTTGAAGGCCACCCTGGTAGAGTTGAGAAATAACAATATCTATGTATCAGATATGATAGTATTATTAACAATGAACATTATTTACTACTAAAGTAGCAATTTTTGCAAACATAAGTTATAATACGTATAACCCTAACCTTATATAATGTTGGTGAAATGACTGCGATAAAATGATTATTGGTGAACTGAATATAATAGTAAGTATATATTATAATATGTTATAAGTCATAATAGAATAAATATTGTATATAAATAAATCATAATAAGTATATGTTATAATAATAATACAAAAATTGAGACAAAATAAAAAAAAATTTTTAACTTTTAGCAATAATAAGTTAAGTTGTGAAAGCTAAACAATTTCGGATGATATTAGCCCTGGAAACCTGGATTATTCATTTGAAGATTTGGTAAATCGATTTTTAGCTGAAGATTTTATAATATATTAGTCCCAATTTTTTGTTTATATATCTTTAAACATTTGTTATGCTACGTGTGTATCATATAGAGCTGAATATAGTATCCAAGGTACAAATCAAAAAACCCTAACTAACATGATTTGTACCCGAGGAATATCATGTGAGAAAGAGGATAAAATCCGAAGGAAAGTATTTCGAATAATGTTTATATAGGAGTCATATTTGTTGGTCAAAAGTAATTACTCAAATCTTATTGATATTAAACGGGTATAATTGAGATTTTAAAATTTTTTCTTACAAGTGTAGCTTAACTCGCTCTTTTTAGAATCCTTTGAATATCTGGTGTGACTATTCAATGAATATTCCCGGGTTTTAAGTCATTCACGAATTATATTGAATGAATAACTGGATTTTATATGAATATCCGTGGGTATTCATTAGGATCTTTGTCTCAAAAATCAGACATAGTAAATTATATGTTCCATAACGAATTAGCCAGGGCGCCCCCCAAAGTGCTGATGATGTAATGATCGTCATGGCCACAGCCGCAGTTCACCCAATCAGATAATACGATGATATCATCGATTTACGATCCCGATGATCGATTAAAGTTTTCGTTAAAACCGAAAATAATATTTAAAATACGAATGACCTTATGAACATTAATTAACATGACAAAAGTATTTAGCGCATTTGTTAGAAATATTTTAATTTTCTGAATATTAGAATAAGTATTTCAAAATGATAAAGTTCTATTATAATTGTAAATGTAAAAAATGCGCACGAAGTTCTATGAAAATCGAAAGCACTACTGAAAAGTTGAGTATTACTAGGTTTGCGCTTTAATTACAACAATCTTTATAGTTAAAAACTTACGATTTATTTCTAATTCGTTACTCTTGGTGAAATTTTCAATTTTTGACAGAAGTATTGGTGCACTAAATACAAGTAACTTATAATGAAATGATTGGGCTGTAAAGTTGTCTTCACTATATCAAGAAGCCATTAGTAAATTTTGGGTAAATTCACTGAATCGAGAGAATTATACTTATATCGAGAGTTCGCTATAAAGAGAGTACTTGTATTTCAACAGAAATCTTTGTGTGTCATAAGGCGAAGGGCAATACTTGGTGCATTCCGTCATAGATCTCCTGATAAAAGACAATGTACACAAGTAGAAAATATAACATTTCTTTAGCTTGGTGTTCAATAAGCGATCCCGCGAGAATAGAGGATTGACAAGGCAAGAGCCAAATATTTTGGATTTGCACTTTCAGCGCGATAGCTTTTATCATAAGTACTTGGCATGCTAAATACTTTCAGAGGGAGTTTTTATATATTAACATCGATCTAAGTTTTTTATTCAATCTTTTCTAATTTATTAAATGTATTGTTAATAATTCTTTATTTAATAAAATGTATTGTTATTTTCTTTATTAGTAAAATATATTGTTCATTAATTTCTTATTAAATAAAGTACAGTACATTGTTTCTTATTAAATAAACAACAATCGCTAATAACTCATTGCTATTGTTCTTTCCAACCACTGTATTTATATAAAGGATCTTGAATATCAATTATTTTTTCACACCTTATCTCCTATGAGCTCTATATACATCAAATTAGTGCTATTTTTTAATTGATTTAAAAAAAGCAAAACAAATACATACATTAATATATAAACTTCATTAAGATTACAAAAAAAATAAAACAATAAAATTAAATAAATATTTTATTTGTCTATTAGTTTGAATCAAAACCCTTGATGATTCTGACAATTGGTCTTGTGAATAATTATTTTCAAGATCGCATTCTTTGTACTAAATAAAGAACTTTAGTATATTAATATGGATATATAAAATGTTCACTTTCTATCTCTCGTAATAAAAATCAGACATTATTGTCAAGCATCCTAATTAATAATTATCGAGTTATACATGTCGTGCATCAGATTCAAATAAAAATAAATTGAGCTATATCAAATTGATGATCAAATCTAAGACGTAAAAATTAAAACACAATAGTAAACGATGGCTACTACTGTGCTACTTCCTAATGTTTAAAATATTTCTCTTGATACA